CGGGAACAGCGGATACAGTATACCACATTAGCAGATGTGCAGGTGAAAATCTGCTTGACATGGAAAGTCTTCTTGGGGCCTGGGGTGAGGGGGGAGGTGTAGGGGCAGGTGTAGCACTTCCTGCGGTTGCAGGGAAAAGTGCCGGGTGTGTTGGGGCTGGGGGGCAGTGTGGAGCGGACAAGGGAGTCACGGAGAGAGTGGTCCCTCCGGAAAGCAGATAAGGGTGGGGAGGGAAAAATGTCTTTGGTGGTGGGGTCGGATTGCAGATGGCGGAAGTGTCGGAGGATGATGCGTTGGATCCGGAGGTTGGTGGGGTGGTACGTGAGGACGAGGGGGATTCTGTTTTGGTTGTTATTGCGGGGAGGGGGTGTGAGGGATGAGTTGCGGGAAATGCGGGAGACACGGTCGAGGGCATTCTCGACCTCTGAGGGGGGAAAGTTACGGTCCTTGAAAAACGAGGACATCTGAGATGTACGGGAGTGGAATGCCTCATCCTGGGAGCAGATGCGGCGGAGGCGAAGGAATTGGGAATAGGGGATGGCATTTTTGCAGGAAGGTGGGTGGGAGGAGGTATTCTAGGTAGCTGTGGGAGTCGGTGGGCTTGAAATGGATATCGGTTTCCAGGTGGTTGCCAGAGATGGAAATAGAGAGGTCCAGGAAGGAGAGAGAGATGTCAGAGATGGTCCAGGTGAACTTAAGGTTGGGGTGGAAGGTGTTGGTGAAGTGGATGAACTGTTCGAGCTCCTCGTGGGAGCTTGAGGCGGCGCCGATACAGTCATCAATGTAACGGAGGAAGAGGTGGGGTTTAGGGCCAGTGTAGCTACGGAACAGGGATTGTTCCACGTAACCTACAAAGAGGCAGGCATAGCTTGGGCCCATGCGGGTAACCATGGCCACCCCCTTTGTCTGTAGGAAGTGGGAGGAATTGAAAGAGAAGTTGTTGAGGGTGAGGACGAGTTCGGCTAAGCGGATGAGGGTGTCAGTGGAGGGGGACTGGTCGGGACTGCGGGACAGGAAGCTTTTCCAGTAACTTTGTTTTTGTTCTAACTGTGGCCAGTCTATTATTTTAGCATGGATTTTGGGCTTGCTGTTTTAATTCCTTAAAATAATCCAGACTTTGGAAGGGAGAGATTAAAAAGCAACGTACACATGTGGATGCATCGCATTGTAGAAACAAAGTCAGAAGTCATACAACACCAGGTTATAGTCCAATAGGTTTATCTAAAATCACAAGCTTTCGAAGCGCTGCCCCTTTGTCATAAATCTGTCGGACTATAACCTGGTGTCATGTGACTTCTGACTTTTTCCACCCCAGCCCAACACCAGCATGTCCACATCATAGAAACAAAGTGGTTGGCAATAGTGCTTAATATTTGCAAATTTCATGCAATGGTAATGATCAATTGAGTTTGAACAAAGAAGGCGTGGCTTCTTTCTGCAGCTTCCTTCGCTACCTTTGCATATATGTACAGGTTTCTTGTAGCTAGGAGAATGTTTGTCATGGGTCTGAAGATGTGCAGTATAGTGAGTACCCCCAACAGTCTACAGCAGAAGCACTCATGTTTAGAATAATTTAGGCTCCTTCACAGATATCTTAAATCCACCCATGGTCATACAATAATGAGCCTGAGCACCTGCAGAATCTTGTCAGTTTAGGTATTATAATTGAGATTGGTAGCTAAGGTTCAGATTCAAACCTTGTCTCTGTAAGAGGCTGTTTCCCAGTTTTACCTTTCCAATGTTTACCATTGCTTGTGCAAATATCGATAGGTTAATGTTTCCTACAGTAACACTGGCTGACCAGTGAGCTGACAGTAATTCCAATCATAGGTTATTAATCTATGTTGTTGTAATGTAGAAAACATGGCAACATATTTGCACATAACAAGATCCCACAACTACTAATATGAAAGAAAAACCAGATAATGCTTTTTTTTTAACCTAATGTTGATTTTTAAGATTAAATCCAAAGCAAGATGCCAGAGGGAACTGCCCTGCTCTTTTTTTTAAAAAAAATCATTTTTCCATTTATCTGAGAGCACAGGTTTAATAAAAACAAGAAAGCTGCCAATGCAGCATTCCCTCAGTACTGGAAATATCTGGCTAGATTTTGTGCAGTAGTCTTTGGAGTAGGATATAAATCTATAGCTGAAGGAATTGGAGGTGACGGTACTGACTACTGAATCATATACTTGCTGCTCACAGTGAGGGTTGGTGCATCTGTTACCAATGTGATTAAAAACTGCTTCTCTTCCTGTCGGTTATTTTCTTTTAATGTCATATGTTTAAGCTGGGCAGCAATAGCAAAAATTGAGAATGCCATCATCGCCATCAAACCTGTTGAGGTAGTTTCATAGGAAGGAGTGTTGGGTGTAGCATGGCCATGAAAACTGCACCTACTGAATAGAACAGACTCATATAAAACTTCTCCTCTTCTTTGTGCCAATTTCCATGGCTTTAAGCTATGTTATTGGTCAGTGGGTGAAGGAACACTTATCAATTAGTCAATTTCTATTGCTCAATTAGTCCAGAATAGTCATATGCAGTTTGTGGCTGCAGAGATGTCAGTAGATTTACCACAAAGTAGGAATTCAGATCCCCTCCTGTTACAACAAACACAAGTAACATTACAAACCTGCTGTAGTAAATTGCATTTAACCTTTCCCTGCTTCCCAGAGACTTGAGTCAGAATCTTCTTCCCCGAAAGTGGAGATATTTTCCTAATTAATCTGTTGAGAGATGTTACTATACACTTTAGTAGCAGGTGGGACTTGAACACAGACCTCTTGGCCCAGAGGTAGGGACACTACCACTATGCCATAAGAGCCCTCACCAGAGGTAGGGGTATTTTCTAACCAACCTGTTCAATGATGTATTTATACACTTTTGGATCAGGTTGGACTTGAATCCATGCCTCCTGGCTCAAAGATGGGGAGACTATAACTGCATCAAAACAGCCCTCTTTCTGAACATGGAGAGCTTGGAGGTGGGAAGGGCATTTACTTGGGCATGGTGTGGTGGTGCTCCCAATCCCTGCTGCCTTCCCATCTCCATCAGAATTCAGTTTTGGGTGGTAGGGCCCGTGGCTGATCTTCCTACCCCACACCAATTGAGACCCTTAAGTGGCCAATTAAGGAAAAGTGAAAGGCCTCAGCCCACCAACGCTGGGACAAATTCAACTGCAGCGTCGCTTGTTGCCGTGCAGCATTTCCAATAGATGCTACTTCACTGGCAGCTTGTCACCTCAGTTTGGGTTTGGGGTGAAGGTGGGGTCATTGATCAAGGCCAATCCGTCCCATGGCCTGAACACTGAGCAAAGCAGCTTTCTGGCTGCCTTAAGAAGATAGTTATTTGGTGACTAACTGCTGTGCGTGGGATCCCACTGTTCAGTACCACGTTTCCTGCTTTACAGCAGTGATTCCGTGGTGGTGATGTAACATTAGCATGATGTTTATGTTGCAGGACTAGTAATCTAGAGGCCTGGAGTAATGATATGAGTTCAAATCCTACCACAGCCGCTGAGGTACTTAAATTCAATAAATTTGGCTTTTGAAAGCTGTTTCATTAATGTTGACCTTGGAACCTTTTCAGAAGAAAAGCTATCTGGTTCATTGATGTCTTTTAGAGAAGAGTATTTGTTGTCCTTACCTGACCTAGTCTGCAATGACTTCACATGCACAGCAATGTTGTTGACTATTAAAAGCCAACAAGTTACTCAGTTGTCAAGAAGGCAGCTCGCCATTGCCATTTCAAGGACAGCTACGGATGGGAAATAAATTTTAGCTTTGCCAACAACACCCACATATGGTGAATGAATTTTTAAAAAATAACTTAATTGGCCTCTTTGGGACATCCCGAAGTTGCAAAATGTGCTATAGCAGCAGAAGTCTTTCCACCTTTACTGATACCCACATATTAATATTTCAAATTGGGGAGGGCTTGAGATGACCACCCAGCCCTGCCTGCAAACACTGCCTGATTTCCAGCCATCCTTGTTTAAGTATGTCAAGGTCAGTTGCATACTTTATCAACCCTCCCTGGTTAAAGTGAGGTGCCTCAGGAGAGCTTTGGGACTGGCGTTGGGAACTTTATAGTTCACTGGCTCTGTTACATGCCGGATAAACATGTGGAGCTCCTAGGGAGCCAAAATCTGAGGTTAAACAATTACACGGGGAGTAATTTTAACTAAACTTGCTGGCTGGAATCTCTTAGGATTGGGTGGAACATTAATTACAAGTCTTTTCAGTCCTATTCTCCAGGGTGAAATGGGGTAGTGTGTGAAACTAGCATTGCACTGAGTCCATCAGCTCCCAAATGAGTGTGTTAGATTAAAATTCCTCCTATTGTGTCTTCCTATGTTTTATATTTAGAAATGAAGTTTCAGCCATGATCCTATTGAATGGTGAGGCAGGCTTGAGGGGCTGAATGGTGTACTCATGTTCCTATTTCTTATGGTCTTAATCAGCTTGTTTTTCTGTAAATGAGAATCTTCCTACACCAACCTAAGTTCATGTAGCACCTAAAGAGTGGTAAAACATCTGAAGGCATTTCCCAGAGGCATTATAAAACATATGGGATCATGTAAGATACTGGTCAGATGACCAAAACCTTGGTTAAAGAGGTAATTTATAAAGTGTGTCTTAGAAGAAGAAGGTGTAATAGAGAAGTCTGGGGAGAGAATTCCCTACCTCTGGTTCCAAGCAGCTGAAGTACAGCTAAAATTGTGGAGCAATTAAAATGGGGATGTTGAAGAGGTCAGAATTAAAGAGCTGCAGATATCCCAGAGGGTTGTAGGGCTTGAGGATATTACAGACTTGGGAGGAAGTGATGTCATGGAAGGACTTGAAAACAAAGATGGGAATTTTAATATTGAAAGTTTGCATTACTGGGAGCCACTGAAAGTCAGCAAGCAGTGACAGTTGTTAAAATTTAAATGTCTATTTATTGCCTTCCAGGGATCTTTCATACAATGGCATTATCTCGATAGATGATAACCTTTTGGACAATCTGACTTCCCTGGAGAAGTTGTAAGTGATTCATTTATTGATGGAATTGTCATATTTTGTTGATAATAAACAAAGTTATGGTTTTGCTCAGGCAAGCAGTTTAATACTTTGCATGATACACAAAACTGTTGTAGCTGCATCGAGAATTCTTCGGGTTCAGAATAGAGATCAGAGTGCACATATCCTACAGTGATCAGAATGGGCCCATTCAACTATGTGACATTGATTCAGGAACAGCTTAATGCAATGTTCTCACAAAGACAAATATTTAAACTCTTATCACAGGGCAAAACAAACAGTACAGGCTCTAATCTTAGAACATTCAGAAATACATCTTTCCTAAGATCTAATTAACAAAAACATCCCTTTTATGCTTTGGTTACTTCTACTTCGTCTCCTGGCCAGCCTCCCATCTTCCTTCATCCATTAACTTGAGCTCATTCAAGTTTTTGCCCAATACCTAACTTGTGTCGCTGCATTTGCAGATCTACACTCGTTCCTGGTGCACCAGTGTCAGAGAGTTAGGGAGTTTTTATAGCATGGACAAAGACCCTTTGGCCCATCATGTCTGTGCTGACCATCAAACATCTGTCATTCCAACTGCATGTTCCAGCAGTTGGCATGTAGCCTTGTATACCATCAAATTTCAAGAGCTTATCTAAATATTCTTAAATGTCTTGATGGTTCTTGCCTCTACCACCTTATTAGGCTATGACTTCCAAATTACCACCACCCTCTGGGTGAAAATATTTTTCTTTAAATCCCCTCCAAATATCTTGCTCCTTACCTTCAGACTGTGCCCCTGGTTATTGACCCTTCTATTCAGCTGAAAAGTTTCTGACTATATCCATTTTTATGTCTCAAATTTAAAATTCAAGTTCTTGTACTCAAATCCCTCTGTGAGCTCACTTGTTATCAACCCCATCCCCTTTCTTTCCTTCAAGAATTTTGGGTTCCTCCAATGCTGGGATGTATGTTGTTGAGTACCTTCACTCCACAAATGGCCATAAACTCCAAATATCCTTCATAAGTCTCTCCACCTCTCTTGCCTCCTTTTAAGGTGCTCTATAAACCTACTAATTTGACCAGGCTTTCCAGACCTATTGTTTCATTATGCGTCTTTCTGCCTTTAATTCCCTAGTTCTTCTTCCTGCAAAGCATTTTGGGTAAGGTTCCATTAGGTCAAAGGCACTGCAGAAATGCAGGTTATTGTTCTTTTCTAGGACAGCTACCTTCTTCCTTTGCAGTGTTTCTGTGGATGGAGGCAGAGCGCAAGGGCATGAGTTCTAGGGTATTTTCTCTCCATTCTGCAGCCATAATGTCACCAGAAACTCTGCCTGTACTGCAAAGCCCTCCCCATTTCTAAACAGACTGTTAACACTGTTGGAAATTTGTAACAGAAAACTTCATTTCTGACCAGCATCCCGTACTCGAGGACTGAGGAAATTTTGAACAGTCAAGCACATAACTGCATCACTGGTCTGTGTCGATGGGTTGTGCATTCACATAATATAGTTACAAGCAAGGCTGAGTTAGCCTGGGAATAGCAGATTTATTTTTTTCATAAAGTACGTGAAGGAACAAAGTGCAGTTTCCACACTGAAATTTAAATATCTTCTATAGTACATAACAAAAGTGCAACTTAACTGATGTTCTTGATGAAAGTTCACAAACCTCTAGCTGCTCCTCTGCTAATTCATCCTCTACTCCTGTTAGACTGCTCAAGCTTATATGGGTTAGGCTAGATTGTCAGCTCCCAACAGAGTTGGAGGGGGCAGTGGTGACAGTGGGTCATCAAGCTGAAATATTGAAGATTCTGATTGCACAAAGGCATTTCCTCTCCTTTTCTGGGCCCTGTGTCATTTTCTGTGGCCTTGCAAGTCAGAAAGGCCTTAGATTGCGACCCTATGTACATCTGTTGCAAAGCCACTAGTGTAGGTGCTACAGGAAATTTGAATCCCTCGTCCTCGATTCCCTCTCGGCATCTTATGTGGTTCAATAGGATCTCCTTTTAATCTTCAAAGTTCCAATAGGAATAGACACAATCTGTTCAATGTTTCCTCAACCTTCTCTGAATGGCTTCTGATGCAAATATATCCTTTTTTAAGTAGGCAATTTTAAGTCTTGAGAAGTCATTGTGACAAAAGTGCCTGGATGTGTGTTCGGGATTGCTGAGAGTAGAGAAAGTCTGTCTACATGCCATCAAACATGGAAGGCCTCAACTGTATCTCACCCACTTAAAAAGGAAAATACTGGTTTGGAATTTGTGGTCAGTGGTGAAGAAAGGTCACCTCTTGCCACTAGTGATATACATGTCTTGGTTTTCCCCTTTCTTGAGAACAGCTTTCATGTTGTGTCAAGCCAAGGGCATGACTTTGCATGAAATGGCAATGCAGCCAAACGCAATAAGTTATTCACACACAGCAAAGCAGGAAGTTAGAAGTGCTTAATATTCTTCACTTTTAACTTAAATTTTCAGCTGTTAAGATTAATAGCACTTTGGTGGAATTTCTTGTCCTACATATGACAGTTGACCCATTGACAGCAACTTCTGAATTTCCGCTTTACTTTCTGCATGTCCACGTTCCTGAAGTTGCTGTCAGTTTGTGCAGGAATGAAGGCAAGCACAGATAATTTCACCATCACTATCACAGCAAAATCCAAATCAATGTGTTCACTTTCCAGCTGTTTAGGGTCCAAAAATGAGTAAATAAAGTTGATGTTGATAACTTAGAACTTGTGTTAACAAGGGGTCATTCCAAATGCTTGACTCTTCTGGAACCACTTTCCATTGTTTCAAAACTTCAAGTGGTTGAAGAATTGCTTTTAAAGCCAAAAATGTGAATCACTTGATGGATCAACATGGTGTAAAGTACACAAGATTATATATCATAAAGACCTCCTAAATTATCAGTTCAAATAATTATAATGGCAACCTATTCTACTTAATATTTAAGTGTTGAGTTACATATGTTATGTTTAACATTGCATAAATATAATAGAGAGAATTCCTTTCAACCAACATTACAGACATTTGTTATTAGCATTAACACAAGTTCACATCAATTGGAAAAATTAGATGAAATCTTTGCTGTAAGTTCATGCATTGTATTTTCTGTTTGCTCCCCAGGTATCTTCAGGGCAATAATATTAGTAGTCTTTTTAAAGAAATCTTCGCTGGTAGAAGATGTTTATCAGATATGTAAGTTTTCAGGGAATTTTCTTCATAGCTCTGAAAAACATTGTACCCTCTAAACGATTCTATACCTTTGACACGATACAATTCATTCAGGGTTGGGACAGTGTGAAATCTGTCAGTACATTTGGGAAGGAAAAAAATCATGACTACTATTGTAATCTTTCATTCTAATTCGATTTCATTATTCAGATTAATGGTCATAATTGTGTCTGTTTACATCTCAATAAAGTTAGCCTTCAATATCGAGTCAAAGGTAGTTCCTGATGGCCAAATGCTGAGAAACCCCATTATAGGGCAGGTTTCCAGGATAGTGGCAGAAAGAAGAATATACCATGAGGAGTCTTTTAGCCACTTCCCAATATTGGCTGTCACTTCTGAGAGTTTTTGGTGAGTGATGGCAGACAATGAATATAGCCACCCATACTTAAGGGAGCAGAATCAGGTAATAGGTTAATGAGATTGGCATCATATGACGTGCGTGATGCCGTTACATTTTTGCAGTGCCGGCCGCTACCATGAGTGCATTGCTTTCCAATGTTGCCAAAAGCGACAAAGGGAGTTTTTTTTAAGATAAAGGGGCAGCCTTGCCCGATCACAGATTAAATAAAACAAGGGCCACTTCTGTTTGCAGTTTTAGCAACTCACACTGACAGTTATCTTGCCGTCTTCCTACTTAGAATCATTGAATCCCTACAGTGCGGAAGCTGCCCATTTGGCCCATCAAATCCACACTAACCCTCCGACAAGCATCCCATCCAGACCCATCTACTGTACCCTATCCCTGTAACCCTGCATTTCCCATGGCAAATCCACTTAGCCTGCACATCCCTATACACTACAGACATATTTGGCATGGCCAATCTACCTAACCTGCACATCTTTGGAATGTTGGGGGAAACCACAGCACCCAGAGGAAACCCACATAGACACGGGGAGAATGTGCAAGCTCCACATAGACAGTCGTCCGAGGCTGGAATTGAACCCATGTCCTTGGCACCATGAGGCAGCATCCAACTTCATTTGGATGTCTTCCTGGAAGTCTGGTCTTTATCACATGGCCTTCACTTCTAGCTGCTTCCCCTGCTGGTGCTCCTATGCGCCAGCTGCCATTGTTCTTCTTGGTGATGGAGTCAATGGTTTGGAAGGTTCTGTTAAAGTTTGCTGCAATTTCATTTTGTAGATGGTACACACTGTGGGTACAGAAGTAGATTCAGATCATGGAAATGATATGTTGTTACAGAAAGCAAAGACATTAATTGCAGCTTAGATTCAACTATTATCAATAGGATTCAGATATTGCTGCTGCAACTGTATGCACTACAGAGCAAACTGCTCTTGGATGATAAATGCTTGGAGCCGTGTGATATGAGGAATTCTTTAAGGCCAAAATTCTAATCATTTCCAAATCTTCCCTTGCAGAGACATAAGCAACAATCAGATATCTACTTTAGAAGATGGAATATTTGCAGATTTATTTAATTTAAGTAAAATGTAAGTTTTCTGGAATTCCCTATAGCATTATTGATGATCTAACTATGTACAGCAATGAATTTTGACAAATACACTTAAAGTAAGTAAAATGAAGAGCAGCTCTGACTAATAACCTTCAAACATTGTGGAAAGTCCTGTTTTGAATCACTAATTTTTTTGGAGAAAATGAACTGTATCAGCGGGTAACTGGCCTGATTTTACATCATGCTAAACTTGGCTCATAAGCTTACATCAACATCTGCAAATCTCCTCTTCTGCAAGCCCCCACTCCTTCCCACAAGCCCCACCATCCTTGATTGTCATGAATGAGACACAGAAGCTAAAATAGATCACTGTTGTGTTATATTGTGTCTTGGGGGTATGAAAGTCTGCTCTTCTCCATGGAAACGCATCAAACATTGATAAACAAGGCAACTCCTTTTCACCCCGTGGGAGAGAGAGACAGAACCGACAGGATGTGATGCAAGGGACAGTTATATGCGGAAACATGATCGCCAAGTCAAGATTCAATCTGGAAGCTGGGAAATAAAAACCATGGGTTGTTATTCCTTTCAAATGTATGGTTAATCTAATTTTTACCAAGACTGTTTTACACTTGAATATTATTGAACTTGCGTGGAATATCCCAAAAATGATTGAACTTGTTTGTAATATCCTGTTTTGGGCAAAGTTTACTGTCTGGCATGGAATATTTCCAGATTTTGAAGAATCCTAGAAGAATGGCTGTAGCTTGAACCAGATCTATAATATTCTGAGCAGAGTTTTAATTAAAACAACATGCGTGACATTCCCTGAATGGGTTCACTTCCCACCAGTGCTGGACATAAGTGAGTCGACACAGATGGTAGCCCTCCTTCATCCTCCTATATTCCTTTGCAAAATCAAATATAAATGTAACTTCATGTGGCCATAGAAGCAGTTAGAGTTTGATGTTGAGGTTAACAATCCATTCAATGGCTTCCACAGTTGGGATGCCCACAAGGAGTGAATCTCTCGGGGCTGAAATTCAGTGTCTGGGCCATGGCCACAGTCCTAACTTCAGCTGATCATTCCATTCCACATGTGGAGCATGTGGTCACATCTTCCCCGGCCCATCCTCAAGCAGTTGAGGTTGAGCAGTTGAGTCCAGATTCTCTGCAGAAGGTGGAAATTCAAAGACTTTACCACTTGGTTTACTTACCAGGTTGCAGTTGATAATGTTTGCAGTCACCAGAAAGTGTATCATTGAGAGATGGTGCTGTCGTCAGTTTTTTAGAGTGTGGTGTGTGTTCCGCTAAGGGATCCAGGATTGTAGACTTGTTTTTTTTTTGTCAGTGGGAGTGCTTCGTGAACTGTCAGCCACTGGTGTTCTTTGCGGAGGCTGATTTCCTTGTGGACAGCAGAGGTTCAATGTGTGTTAGCATAGGAGATCAATCAAGCCGTGTTGGTCTCCAAATCCCAGAAATATTCCCAAAGGCTTCCAAGACCCTGGTGCGAGCAGCAAATAAACTCTAGATAATGGGTAGATTACACTGAAGTTGGAAGATGGCAATATGGGAGTAAGCAATCAGCAGGGTGCTGTTGACAAGGCAAATCCTTTTGTATGTATTTATGGTGGGGAGCATTCCTCAATGCCAAAATAAACAGCATCAGCACGAGTATCCTAAGGTAAAAATCAGGCCTCTAGCCTGCTGTTTCAGGAAGCTCATGTTAAGATCCTATCACTGGGAGGCTAGTGAAGGAGACGCCAATGATGCTGATGAACTGTTCCAAGTAATAGCAACTCCTGATATTGCTGTCAAGCCTGAGTGAATACAAGTCTGCAACTTCCCTTTTATACAGAACATTAAATCTAAAGATATTACATAGGATGCTTAGACTGTGCGGCATGAAACAGACCATTCCAGCCCAGCTAGTTCAAGCTAGTGTTATGCATCACATGAATCCCTGCCCAACCTTTCTTTATCTAATCCTATTATCTTTATACAAGCAACCCTACACAGACATGAAGGTCTTACTTGCACACCTTGTATTATATGTTGAGCAAAGCAATGTGAATATTTCATCGCACTTAAAGTATGAATTGGGCATGAGTTTATGAACTCAAAGAGCTTGTTAACAGATTTCCTTTAGTTCTTTTGCTTTTTACAAACCAAGTAAACAAATAACACTAACTTTTACTGTTCTGATATTTCAGAAACTTGAGTTTTAATGAGTTTGTCTGTGACTGTAACCTTTCGTGGTTACCAGCCTGGATGAGTGAGGAAGAAGCAAATGGTGTGATCATCGTGGATAGTGAGTTCATAAAGTGTGCCAAACCTTCAAAGCTGAAAGATGTGTCTGTGTTAAATGTTAATTTTTCAAGCCTTCTCTACGGTGAGTAGTTGTCACTTTATCCAAGTGTTGAAGTTCGTCAATTATTATCTTACGAATTCACCCAGAAAGCATTGAACTCTGTCAAAAAGAGCAACAAGCATATAGCAAACAAGAAGAGAAATTGCTGAAGAAACTCAGTAGGTCTGGCAGCATCTGTGGAGAGAAAGCAGAGTTAATATTTCTGACTGTTCATCAGAAGTTCACACTCTACTGCCTTTAGTTACCTGACATGTCCATCCATGCGATTGGAATGATTTTGTTTGTTGATTGGCCAATTCCTGACTGTTAGGCAAACAGCTTATATTCCACCTCCTCTACTTTCAGAACTGATAAACCAAAATTAATTAAAGACAGTGGGAAAAGTGCAATTTTTTTAAGCACCCTATTTTGTTTGTTCTCTGGCTGTTGCTCACCCCTGTTTCCTGGAGACTCCAGATGATGGATTGGAGGGTTGGCAACACTCCATCAGTATCAAACTGAAAACTGGAGGCTGTTACCAGCTCATCCACATAACAGGATCCTATAAAAGACAACTGCAAAGAGGCAAACAGCAATTAGGATGATAGCTGGGAGCCTTTAAAGCTGTTGTTAAAATTTTCTTTGGATAACTGAGTTGCTATAAAGGCGGATAATAATGGGGTTATCCTGAGGCTGTGATGGTGATTAAGAAACTGAAGTAGTCTTTGTGTTTTTCAGTTTTTCTACAGAGGATTCAAGCATGATTGTAAAAGTAATTATTTTCATTGGCTGAAGTCTTGTTCATCATTATCAAAAGCGATAGTGGCCAATAGACAAAAAAAAACTCAACTGAAACAGGCTAGGAGGGATTACTTAAATCTTTGATGTGTCTCCACAAATGTTTAACAGTACAGACAGAGTGTGTGAGATGGCAGAAAAGAACTCTGAAAATTTCTGCTGCAAATTCAATCACTTTTATATTGATGCCATTACAACACTTTTAAACAATTCTTAAGTTAAACAATCATACAACTGATTAATTCTTGAGAGTTGGGAAAATTAGTTTTCCTCTGGCATTTATGATCTCTCACAGCAAACAGTCTCGGTTACATACCAGTCATTTATTGCATATGCCATAAATGTTCAAATAACAGATGCTGTGAGACTGCATGTGGAATCAGAGAATCATGGAATGATAAAGAACAGATTGAGGTCATTCAACCCAGAATGACTGTGCAGCCCCTTTGAGCTAGTCCCACTTTCGCATTCCTGTAAATTTCTTCCTTTGAATGTATGTATCCAACTCCCTTTTGACAGTGACGGACTTCCACCACATTTCAGGCAGTACATTCAAGCTCATAACAACTCACTGTCCGCAAACTCTTCCAAAATGCTCATCATGGCTGACCTTCTGCTGTTAGAAACAGTTTCTCCTCATTTCCTCTGCCAAAACTGTTCATGATTTTAAGCATCTCAAACAAATCTCCTCTTCAGCTAATTGCTGCAAGGCAATAAACAAGGAGCAGCAGGTGTTTAGAGGAAGAGTGTCTTTGGATTTCATGTCCACAGGTTGCTGAAGGTGATTGGACAGTTGGATAACGCCATCAGAGATGCATATATAATAGTTGCCTTTATTAGCCCAGGTATAAAATTACAGGAGCTGGGACTTTATGTTGAAACTATATAAAATACTGGCTATGAGGGGAGGCAATGGCCTTGTGGTATTATTGTTGGCTTGTTGACTCAGGTAATCTTCTGGGGACCTGGGTTCAAATCCTGCCATGGCACATGGTGGAATTTGAATTCAATAACAAAAAAAAATCTGGAATCAAGAGTCTAATGATGATCATTGTTGATTATTAGGGGAAAAATCCCTCAGGTTCACCAATGTCCTTTAAATAATAATAAATGCTGGCCTCACCGTTGATACTTTCATCCTGTGAATGATTTTTTTAAAAAGTCACATCTAGAATACGGTGTCCATTTCTGGATCACTATTGATAGGAGTAATTGCTCTTGAGAGGGTCCAAAGGAAATTTTTGTGGATATTGCCTGAACTGAGGAATTTTAGTTATGATGAAAGACTAGGTTTCTTTTCTTTGGAACATAGGAGGCTGAGCAAAGACTTCAATGGGGTGCATAACATGATAGGGGGATCAAGAGAGTGGATAGGAAGACTATTCTTATTTGGTTGAAGGATCCGAAATAATGGGGCATAGATATAGGGGAGATTTGAGGAATTCCTTTCACTCTGAAGGTGGTGAGAATCTGGAACACTGAAAGGGTCAGGGAGCCAGAAATCCTTTTAACTTTTAAAAAGCGGTTGGATACATGTTTGAACTACCATAACTTAGAATGTTATGGATCAAAAGCTGTAAAGTGGAATTTGGCTGGAAGACTACTTTGTTGGCTGGAAGGAATGCAATGGGCCAAATGGCTTCTTTTCTTACTGAAAGTATCTTTGATTCTAAGGAGGACAACTCCAGCCACTCCACGTAATTGCTGACTGTACTTTATGCATTTAGGGTTTAGATATATTTTGTTGTATGTTTTGATAATATTCACAATGTTCTGGATGAATTACTGGGCTTTACACCCAAAATTTCTTCTTATCTTTTTTCTTAGGGTCCGAGTTTGCAGCGTGCTCACCTGATAGACAATCTCTAGTCAATTTATCCTTGGTGTCAAATTGGATCTCCAGCAGAGAAAACTGCACAGCATTATGTTTCATTGAGGGTGAGCGGTATGCTGCCTTGGACAATGAAAGTCATTGTCTATGCGGTTCTGAACTGGCACCAGATTCAGATGCTATTTGTATACAAGAAGAGATAGATAGAGAGTTTATTCAGGTCTGTGGCTGCACTATTATTGAACAAGCATTCGAAGTTACAGTTGCGAATTTTGCTGACCTACGCACTTTTAGCCTTTTTGAGGCTGCACGCCTGACTGTTAAGACTTTAATTAACATTAGCACTTTCCAGTGGGACTTTGGAGATCTGTCTCCACCTTTTAACACTACCAGCCATGTGGTGTTCCACAAATATGGTCTCCCAGGGACATACCTGGTCAGTGTCGCATTCTGTGTAGGCAGCAAGCCTACCTCTCTGCATGTAGAAATACACGTCGCCATTCCTCCAGGAAGATTGGAGGTGCATTGTCCTCCTGTTGTGCAGACAAATAAAAGCATTGATGCTAAGATCCAAAACTGGAACAGCAACAGTGTTACAGCATCGTGGAGTATTACAACATCTAGTAATGGTACAATAAAAGGTGAGTGGAAAATCAAACCTGATTAATAGATTCAGAAATAGTAAGAACTGCCGATGCTGGAGTCAGAGATAACACAGTGTGGAGCTGGAGGAACACAGCAGGCCAGGCAGTATCAAAGGAGCAGGAAAGCTGACGTTTCGGGTCGGGATCCTTCTTCAAAAATCTGAAGAAAGGTCCCGACCCAAAATATCAGCTTTCCTGCTCCTTTGATGCTGCCTGGCCCGCTGTGTTCCTC